TGTCGCTCTTCTCCTGTCTGTCTCGCTCTCTCGGTGTGTCTAACGTTTCAGTGCAGCTCAATTAAATCTCCTCTACTGCTGCAATTACTGCAATAACTGGCTCCAACACTTGAGGGGACACAAGAACTCCTCTCTTACAGCTTTATCAAAGCTAAAAATATTCCTCTTTTAGAGAGGTGGAGCTCTGCCAACACTGTTGAGCCTACCGCTAGTAAGTAAGTTGAGTATGATTTCCATTTCATGTTACCCTTTAAAATCCGATACAGTTACTGAATTACCTGATTAAAATGTAGTCAGTAACCCAATCCAAGTATAAATGTAATGTAACTTGATTAAAGCGAGACAAAGGAGAAATAACATGAGAAAATAAATGACAATAAGAGGTACTGATGCAATATAAGACAACCGAACGATGTAACTTTGGAAAAGAAATTAGATTTTTAGCATCAAAAATATGTATATTAAATTGTAATCCTCCAAAATATCTACATTTTTACTAAATGTTGCTGTAATCTGACTACGTTTTATGTTCTGTATTTTTATGTATCGAGATTATTTACTTACATATAATCCGTTACTCCCCAAGCCTATATAAGCTTTTTGTTAGGGGTGTAAGAAAATATAGAAAAATATCGTATCACAATATTTTATTTTGTGATATTTTAGCGATTCTCAGAAATACAGGATTGATCCTTGTGTTTAAATCCCCCAGGTCTGTGATGTTGGATGGTACAGCGACTGTGATAAACACAAATACAGATCTCGCTCTTCTGGTTCTGGTCTAGTTTTATTTAACTCAGATGTTATTCTTATGGTGGCCTGTTCTTTATACCATGACAGCTTTCCTAAAATGTGATTTCTTTCAATTAAATCGCAATATATCTTCAGTTTACAGGGTTGTATATCACAATATATTGAATCCTAACCCCTGTATCGTGATACCTATAGTACTGCCAGATTCTTGCCAATACAAAGCCCTAATACTTGATTTGATAGTTTAATATAATACCATAATAACAACCCCAGGGACCATTTTATGGACTGTGAGTACATTCACGTGACTTTGCTTGACACTGTAACAATACTTTTTTCATGCAGGGCCTGTTATGTAATATTTTAATATTATAGTATTCCTAATTTTCCTACAACACACCTTTTACTGGAAGAAAGAGGAAGTGTCCGTCCGTGGTCAAATTAAGCCATAAAAGTGAGCCGATAAGCATTACACTGACTCATAATGAATGAACAAACACTGCACACCTTGAAAGCACAAGGTTCCAACTAAAGGACAAATCTGAGTTTGATAAGCTCTGGCAGCCTCTCATCTGCTACCTAGAGACCCAACAATCCTGAGGGATCAAGAACAGTATGTAGATTTCAATGTTATTTGTTATTCTTTATTCAAAAAACTGTGAATGTCACTTTCCTCAGCTTAGCTTTGAATAAATACTGCATGGAAGCACCAAGTCATATTAAAATCGAATCATTTTATTGATAATAAGAAGACACAGAGTCAAAAATATTAGAAAATATAGGCTGTATGTATCTTGGCTCTGGTTATGATGCAGCAACAGTAACATGCTGCACATATATATGGCCTATAGATTAATGCAGTTAAGTGAAAACTGCTGTGTTATTATAGAAATACTAAGAAGTGAGTGATGATATATAGAGCCTATGAGAAAAGGCTGTGTCAAAAGGTGGATTATTTTACCATGACGAATAGTAAATACAATTTTATGTCC